GTATGTCAAACAGTTGAATTTCTGCATCACTTATAAATGACTTTTTGAATAATTTTTCAGTTTCTGGTTGTGGATCTGACTTTGGTCCGTTCAATCCACCAGACGCCTATGTTCGCATTGAACATTCTTGCCCACGTCGCAATGTGAAAAAAATAAAGGCGATAGAGTTGGATCTGCTGCCAATATTTCTGCCTAGAGTAATAAATTTAGGATCTATTCACTTGGATAGATTTGAAGATGAGAATTATTAATTATCCATGATAGCTAAATTTTATCAATAAGCTAATCTCATCAAACATTTGATTACATTTGGTTTTCTATTATTTCGCAGTAAAACTTTTCTGGACTTCAAATTTTAACAGAATGAAAAAACACATACAAAATTTACGTCGAAATCAAGCTTGCTTATCTTATGGGGTCAACAGTGCGGATATTTACTCTTTTAGCTGTCAGTGCAATAATTGCTTACAGCTCATTAGCAAAGTCAGCACTTCAAACATTTCATAACCAATATTTCGTGGTCAATCCACAAGTGTTAAAAAAAAAAACATTTGAATTGGTAGGCGTACCTCAGAACTGGTCTCAAATATGCCTTCCTCAACTGCGGAAAGTCATACCAAGAAGTTGAGATAGTTCTCTTCCCGCAAAGCTGTGCTCGTAACCTGCCACTAGCTCCTCATAAAATCAAATTACACTTTAGGCAAGGACTCCCTTGCCAGGTCTAGAGTTTCAAACTATAATTTAATATAAAGTAGCTTCAATTTGATGATATTAGCTTCTAGCAATAAATAGCGCTGGACGCTAATTTTGCGCTGACAAACAGCGGATTGCGGCTTTCGAGGTATATGATGATTTCAAATGTTTTTTTCTGAATTTCAATAGATAGACCAGGTATCCCATCCATTTCATTGTTATCTTGCGAATCCAAATCGGGGACTCACCGCGAGTAAGTAAACACAAAATAGTAGCAGTAGGTTGAAGAGAAAGGAAAATTGATGCGAAGTCTTAACTTAGGACTGAAAGTAGGACAATAAGCCAAAAAGTTAGCCAGCCAGTATTAGTACAGATCTATAGTTACCTGCACGTCGTAAAGGGAACTGTGGCGTAAAGAATGTGAGCTACTGATTGTCATAGAGCATCGTGAATGGCTCAGATTTTTATCACGTAAGCTGATGAGAACTACTAAAAACCTCTAGACGCACCACTTTGTCTCGATTTTCCTCCAAGATCTCGACATAGGTCACGCGACGTGTACATGTACCAATACATTTGCAAGGACGAGAGTCAAGCGTGTGATGTGACCGTCCCATCGGGAGGATGGGGGAGGGGTTAAAGGGCTGTCTCGTTGATGGAGAGGGGTCATGAAAGGGGCTTGCTGTGTCAGTTTTTTTCTCTTAATCAAGGCTGTATCCGAATTATAATGATTTTCGCAATAATTGAGATGTTCGTCGCTTGTAAAGCCGACCATTCAAAGAGTCATGGACAAACAAGATAAATCAGCAAAAATCATGGCTTCATGTTGTTTCGGCATGGCGTCCACTATAAAGTCCACGCATAGTCATCTGGTATGTACATGTTCGTAACCAGTTCTCCAATTTTACCTAAACCGTCAAATTAGGTTATAAGAAAGTGCATGTAAACTCATCGCCTGCAGATTTCACATCTTTCATAATGATCCCTTCTCTTCCATATGCAATGGTCTTGATGGATGTTTATCGCAGCCAGTGGTTTGATTCCCACTGTCATTATGCGTGGACCATCCTGTTGTAATCTAAAAATAACAGAATTGAAAGTTATTGTTTCAAAGCTAATTGGTTTTCACTATACGTCTTTAAAGAATCTAATGTATTGGTTCGTAATTTCATTGTTTCTTCTTTAGACAGCTTAGCAGTAGAGGAACAACTCTCTGTGTTAGTGTTGCTTAAAGACGATCAGTATGCATATAATTGCCTTAAAAATCATAATAAACCAAAAGTGAAAAAAATTACAATGCTACGTTCACTATTTGGATTGGCATTCGCAAGATAATGAAGTTGGCAAAAAGCATCTAATAGAATGAAACACTTTGTTTTAAAACATCTATGA